CCCTCTTCTTTCACTCTCCCTCCACCAAATTAACACAATTCTTTCCCATCAGACAACTTCCCCTCAATTCTTTCTCATCAGACCACTTTCATTTTCCATTAATGGAATCATTGACGGACCTCACCGGAAAATTGATCCCGAGAAAGTAACGATTGTAATAGGTCTTCTACTGAAAGTAACGATTCTACTGAAAGAGGGCTTTTATCTTGTGGAGATTTTGTAGTAAGAAGAAGCAGAAGAAGAAACTCCATTTTTTTTATGCGAGAGAGCATAAGAAGAATCAGATGGGTCCTTCAAAAATTTCCGGCAACCTCCATTTTTTCCGTCGAAATTGGTTTTGTGTCTCTTTTTTCAGCCGTGTGACCCATCAGTTTCATTCTTGGCTTCTGAGTTGTATTCCTCCAAAGTATGAAAGGAATTCAAGAAACTCGCATGAAAGAAACTCCACTGATTTGTATTCCTCCAAAATTATATAAATGGAGGGGGATCTTTAAGAGTTGAGGATCAGTCTCAAGTTAAATTTAAAAGAAATAAGAAAAAAAACCTTAATTTAAAAGAAAAAAAAAACCTTAATTTTGAGGGTTTCACGCGCTTAGAATTAAGTATAAAGCACACACTTTGCCATGTCAGTGTGAAGGGTTCACGAGGTCGTACTTTAGTGGAGAAGAAGTGTTTAAATGATAAACGGGTCAGTTGAGGTGTCTGGCTGATCGTTGAGGACAACTTGGAGGGGCCATTTATGTATTTCGCCTTTTTTTTTTTGTAATTTCAAATTTCTTTTTTTTTTTCGCTTTCTTCGTCACACAACCCCCCCACCCCCCCACCCCCCCCCCAGTGGCGTACGCAAAATTTTTTGTAAGCGGTGTCATATTTTTTTATAAGGAGACAAAGAAGTGAATAAATAAATAGTTACTATAGTAACCTATATATTAAAAAAGCACGAAATCCAGAACATTACTATAAGTCTATAACTCTCTACGACTAGTTTTTCTTTTTTTTGAAATGTATCAATAATAGTCTCATGAAACAGCACTAAATATGTCCTTTTTCTAGAATGATTTGATTATACTTATTGTCAATCTTATTAATAGATGGATTCTAGTTCAACTGGTACTTGTTGCTCCTTAATTTTATGATAGGTCAATGGTTCAAGTCTCAGTAATACCAACTATTTTTTAATAAATAATGTCTCGAAAATGGTAAAAACATAAAGTATGCCATCAGACAGAATCGAGCTCTTGACGTCAAGATCAAATTTGTAGCACTTAACCGCCAGACCAGTGACGCTTCTTTGTTTAAGCGGTGTCACCTCTTTTTTTTTATACGAATAACCTGGTTTTGCCTATGCTTATATATGTACATTTAATGAATCTTTCCGATGAAGCGGTGTCACGTGACACCGCTTCCAATAAGGTGGCTCCGCCCCTGCCCCCCCCTTCCCCCTCGGATTTTTTTTATTATATATTTTCAGTTTTAGTTTCTTCATCTTTCGGTTTACATGTTCGAAATTTTACAAGTTC